TCATGAGTAAGCATGAGACCTTTATTACTAATATAATATATATATATACGAGAGTATTCTACATGAGTATGGAATATACGAGCACTATTCCAACATTTTGAAAACCTATATCAGCGATCTGACTCTACCAAATGAGTAATACCTATATAAATCAAAGTTAACTGAGTAACGCCCGATTTAATTTGACTAACCAAACTCTTCAGTCCCTTGGAATCCTGCAGCGGGTATAATTTGAAATAGAGTATCGCCTGCACAGATACGACGCCGGAAAGTCTGTGCGGACGGTATACATATTAGCTGTGTGCAATAAAAGAATTCGGAGAATGCGCACCCTACTGCAAACAAGACGCCGATAAGCAGTGCACCATAAGAATTTGGAATATCCATGGTCGTCAAAGAAGAATATACTAGTGTCGTAGAACATGAACGGTTTATTATATTGCAAGAGACGTGGGACTTCAATGTTCAAAGTCGGCAATAATGACGTTGAATGAACACGCTTGACATCTACGTGTGCTTATTACTCCTTGCTGAGCTATAAATAAGGTGGAGAAGTATGTACTGGCATACCCCAAGCTACTGTCACTCGAGAATTTGTGGCTATTCTTGATGGTTAAAAATCTTCTGATAGATAGGTTACACGAATAGGACGAAAATAACGAACCCAATTCCTATGAGGAAAGACGAATGATGCTAGATGAACCTCAGGAGAATTCATCTGACTTCCAAATTGAAAATGAATTGCATCCAAATATGAGATGAATATGCGTCGTGCTGGTTAGTCCATAGCACTGAAGTATTTCCTAAGATTGCAAGTCTCAGAAAATAAAATTATGGGCTCGAAATTGTTGGATCGGCGTGCCTACCATTAGTCTATTAATAGACCTGGACCCAGAAGATGAACGGAACGCTCGTTCAATCAGTCTTGGGGGGGGCCGAGGGATTGGCGGTCATCCTATTTTCGGAATTTCTTTTCTAGGTATTCAATTTCTGTGGCAATTGGGTTTGGATGCCGTTCTGGTAAGGTGCTCCAAACAGCGCTTGCATACATATCTATTTGCGTTCATTCCAAGGTTGGCACTTTCCTCATGAAACCCAAACTTAGAATAGTCTAAAACCACAGAATCTGGTAATAAGCGACTAACTGTCAATCTATTCTCATTATTGTCCTTCAACTTATAAGAAGCAATCTGCAGGGATCTATCAAAGGTCTACTGTCAACCAGGAAGTACCCACTCATCCTCCGATTCATCGGTCAATTTTATCGCGCGGAACTGTGTTCTCAAGTCCACTTTTAACTTGCTCTTCAGTAGTTGAAAATTTGGATATCATCCTATTGCTCGATCCGTGAACTCATTAGTCGCTATATTATATCGGCTGATCATGATAGGATCTCGGCAGCTCATTCCGCTAAGTGGGTATTGAGATCGAAGCACTGTGGAGGCCCTAGTACTAGAGAGCGTCAAACAAATAGACGTAGTCCCAGATGGAGTGGGTACATCATTAATTATTCACATATCATGTTCTGTAAATGGTATTCTTGATTTTATGTTTCAATGCTGAGACGAACCCCTCTATCATTACTCTAAGTGGGTATGAGCGAGTGATCTAAACTCCAGTAACCTGATCGTAAATGCTATTACCGACGCCCTAATGTAGAAACGGGTATTAGTACAACAAACGCTTCCTAGTAGAGAATCCTGAATGAACATTCAATGCACGTGCGGAAGCAGTTACTTTTGAGAACGCCCGTATATTATAAAATGAAAGAAACACGTATAACCTCCAATACACTTGCATCATATGGGCATAAATGAACTAGGCAAAGAGGAGGCTTATAACGATGCGTGTAAGGCTGAAGGCGGGGGAAGATACACGAGTTGGAATCGAGGAGATTGGAGCTTCAGTCGATGGTGGAATATATGATGAACCTGTCGTTGCAAGAGACATCCGGAAAGATGACGACTAGGAGGCCATGGACAATAGATGAGGAGTTAACGCAGAACTTGCTGCCGACGATCTACTCCCACCAGCTCCCGATGAAACACTAGCAGTTGCACACCCTCCCTCAATGACCCGTCACCCCCTTTAGACCCACCTCCCTATCGCATATCTTCCAAGATCTCCGATACCACATTCCCGCTCTGTGGGCATCTATTGTCTCCCGTGGGTAATGAACGTGCCCATTGGGAGATTGGACCAGTATGCCGAGGCTGGCGGTGCTGAGGAATCGGGTTCAGACCACAGTGCATCTGTTTGAGATAGGTCAGCGGCCATGGCTATAGGAGAACCTGAATCGGCAGGTGAAGAATTAGAATCAAAGCTCGACGAGGAGAGGGATTTGATGGTCGGTCGTAATACAATAGCAGCTTGCAAATCGTATCCTCATCTAAAGTGACCGACCAGGTAGTGATGTGCCGATTCAAGGTTATGCGGGGACGGTATACAAGACTGGTTAGAAAGTGATTGCTATGTATACCCAAGTTTTCATTGGATGATGCCGCTGAATCGGAGGTACACGGTGATAATGAATAGAGGGTAGGAACATGCGCATAATCCAAGCTCGTAAGTGGACATTGCATATTCTGAGGATGCGGGAAATGCAGGCACCAACACTTTCTCCTTCGAGCTAACCATTGCACTAACCCCCGCCACTGCCGCCTCACCCTGCCTATCTACGGGCGCACCCAATGCACTTGCCTCGTCTGGGGCGATAGCGGGTAGCGTTGAATCCTCGTAGTGCTACCAGACTTTAAGTGCTTCGTGAAGATTGCTGAGGCATCCTGAGCACAACGCTTGGCGGAGTCGAGAACGTCGAACAGACCCCTATCAACGGAGTATGGAGAGGCGGGGAGAGGAAGGCTCTGCGGGCTACGAGGAAAGCATTTCCTTTAGTGTAGACGCGGCGGTACGGCGAGGGATAAGGATGCTGGAATGGTACGGATGAATAAAAGAGTGAGTCGGATGGGGATGCCGCGTGGGTGTTGGATGTAATCGGAGGAAACCACGTTTCGGGAGTAGTAGAGGGATAGATTCGAGTGTTGGGACCGATACCAGGGCTGGGGATACGCGATGAAACCAATACGTGAATAGCTGCTGAACCCGCCACACCCTGATCATCACTAATCGGCGTACTGTGTATACCTGTCAGCATTGTCAGCACCAACAGCGCCTCCCTCGTCTGTGCCGCCACAGTAGCATTGATATACTAGGTTATAGGCGATGCTAAAAGGGGTGGGAAGTTCTCTTTGTCTGTCTGCGAGCTCCTTCCTGCGCCGAGTCGCAAACTCCTTTCTTCTGGCAAACAGTTCCCAGGCTGCGTCTTCGAGAAAAACATCCGATGCAAGGGCAATAGGGGCGATGGCCACGGCAGCGGGTCGCTCGTCTCTTCTTCACGCGCAGACGGACATGTAGGGAGGAGGTTGGTGCTAGTTCTGGTGCACTGCTAGATTGGGAAGAACCGCTAGAGATTGAGGTAATCCATAGGAGGAACAAGAGCCAGACGGAATACAGGTGTGTTCAGCTAGGATTCGAAAGGATGGGAGGGGAGGGGACGTACATCGACTTCACTATCGACACATAAGCGAACTCAGCGTGCCCTGCTACCACTAAATTCAAAGGGATCTTGAAGACACGTGTAGAACGAGCTGGGAGTCGAGCAAGGAGAGAAAGTTGAGTAGAGACGGCAAGAGGACCAGATTATGCATTCGAGGCGTTGGATATCGAGAATGCCACTCGTTAACAGGCCTCCGTCCGCTCAAGGCGGGAAATAAGCATGGAAGAAGCCATAAGGAGAGCGGGATCATGGAATGGCACTGAGAGGGATTCACGAATCATGGGTACGTCTAGTTGTCTCCTTCTATCATCGCAACATCCTCCTCCTTTCCCTCAATCACGATATCCTCGTCTACTCTCTCCTCTCCCTCCCCTCCTCCACGATCGCCATATCGTCATAGTGACCTTCTGCGTCTGCGACGTTACAGGTGGATGTTCGATTCTTGGAGATAATACAAGGTACTTCAGGTGAGCGTAGATGATATAGAAGATGTAGCTTGGTGCATTTCTTCACTCATCCATGCATGGATGTGGTTAGATGATGGGCCATCTGCTGGCATCCCAGACTTGAATGAGGAGACTATCGACTTGTCCAGCGTTTTGCATCAAATTTAGATGTGCTTGAGGTTTTATATGAGAAATGGAGGCTAAGCTGAAAACCTTGTCCAGGAAGTGTAACGTGGAAGTGGGGACGGAGGAGAAGGGACGAAGCAGACGGAATGGAGTGCCGATAACCCATCAGTAGCGACTCTGAAATCAAACACGACCAAACATCCCGCCCCCTGCAACAAAATCTCAGAAATTACATATATATGATGAACTGAATATTGTACGTACATGAGGTTTGGAGGTTAAGGGAACAATATTTTACTACTATTTCTCCCCTCTCCTCCATCCTGCTGTGGTTACAGCTTTCTATTAAAAATACAAGGCCGCCTGGCGAAATGGCATCGCGTCTGACTACGATTGCGCGTGTGCATCTAATCGAAATCAGGAGATTGCAGGTTCGACCCCTGCGGTGGTCATAGCCCCTTGGAGTACCATTTTTTTTGGTTAAGTATGTTGTGGCAATACCTAATGACAAATTAATAGTTTCTGTGTTGCATTTTTCGCCTTTCTCTATCCTCTTCTTAGTCCATTCTAACAAGTACCATCCCTCTCTTAAAACTTTGCCAACCACGGGGATATGATGTAATGTCTAACATTGCCGTTTCTCATATTCATTTCTCGACGATAGAATTTTTTTGAGTCATCCGGTAAGATACATGAACTTCTTCCTTATACTCACCGAATTCCTGCAACGGGACCCGATGACTCAAGGGGTATTTTTATTAGTGTATGCTATTTAGTGGTCTATCAGGGTTCAGTGATCATCCTAACAATACAAATCCTTCTTTATTGCTTCCTGGCACTTATTCAATGCATTTGTGCACTACTATACGCTTACCTGCATCTCTACAACGTCCATGCATCGCGCACAGATCGAGCCTACAAAAATCATTCTATTTCCATCTGACAAGGTGAGAGATTTGCAGGAACAGGTGATGGTTGTGCATTTCCCTACGCTGATCCTTCGTACTAGTTCCGCGAAGTGGATTTTTACCTGCAGTTAATCGCCAAGAATCACCAATGCCCTTCTATAGCATTGGGTAAAGGTTAAAAATGTGACACCGTTCCAAACCATCACCTAAATCCGACTCTGTTTATCATTTGCACCTCCATCTAACATCCTATGGTCTTGTACACTTCATACTTCAATAGCGTCCCACAACTACGTTCAAGATTATCTTATCGCTGATTCTGGCCTAGAACCTCGAAACGAGCATTTTGACTACCTAATCTCGCCTTGGCCACTACACAACCTAATCATAATCTTTCATATTACATGACTAAATAAGTGTAACAGAGGATTACTATTGAATATCAACCATTTTGATAGCTATTTAATCTAACAAATGTACCTTTGAACCAACTCCGCATTTACTGCATCAATCAATCCACATTGCCTGATCCAAGACCTCGCTTTTGCTACAGCTGGACTATCTTGATATTTCTCAACAGACAACGGTCTCGAGCTCCCGCTTTCCATCACGGCCAAAATAACTTCGCCAGTTCCATACGGAGGAATCGTCATCTCGTGTAGAAGCATAAAACGATCCGGAGCAAGTCCCCTGAACCCCAGGTCTAATGTAGCCTTCTCGACATAGCGAAACTGCTCTGAGATGTTCCTCCTCTTCAAAATTCTGTGTATTCTGGTGAGGAAGATCTCATAGATCAGAAGTATGTGGTCCTTCTTCAACTTGATCCCGAGGATCTGCTTAAGAGGCATACGATTCAGGTTGTTGTTGTGGAAGTGATGGTATAGCTCAAGGTTATCCGCATCCCTAACTCCGTTCTTCTTCAACCATTTTCGGACACCCAGAGTAACAGGAAGGAGCGCAACCTCCGATAGGGGGATACCTGTCACTGTCTCGAACTCCAAAAACTCGACAAGTACTTTGGGTTCCTCTCCAGCCCGCTCGATAGCAGTTAAATCTATGCCGGTTTTCTCGCACTGCTCCTTCAGAATAGAAAATGCAAGAGGAAGCTCAGTGACATGGCCCTCCATAAATGAGGAAGCAATCTGGCAGAGTTGCACATTATTGAGGATAAACCCTACGACCTGGAAGACGTCGCAGTCCTTGTGGTGATATTGACCGAATTTCACCTCAAGATCAATGTGTTTGCTGGCTTTCTTACGCTTTGGGGTGTGGGGTGCAGACGGGCGGCTGGCGTCTGGTAGAGCCTTCAATGCAGGCTTCGGTGTATTGGGCGCAGATGTTATGACGATCTCTGGTAAGGGTTTGCACACTGCCTTAGGAGTAATATTGTCGGGAAAGGATGGGCTAATGGCTACATGCATCTCGACAATAGTTGGTGTATAGAGATGAACGGCGCAAGAATCGTCAAAGAGGATTTCTGAACACAAACCAGAGAAAGTGCCCACAATAAATAGCTCGAACCTCTAAGGTTACGTTGGTCTAGAAGCGTATAAAAATCCTATTGTTAATTACTATTAACATTTTACGAAGGCCATTTATAACCACAATAGGAAATAAGCCATGATAAGTCTGCCTTCAGCACCAAAGAGGAATGTGACCGGAGGACAATGAGATTTCAGAGTGATCTTCCAAGTAAGTTTCAGATACTGATCGGGCTAAGACCATATACCAATCAGGAAATGTTTCATAGCACAAAGGAATGGGACAAACGGCAAGAGTGGCTAGTGTATAAAAGAGAATCTGTGTCGACAATCTTATTACCGAGTTTCTAGCTCAAGCTTCAATCTTACGCTTACCTGCCCATTAATCCTTTAAATTCCTTCCTACAGAGAAAATATTAGGATACAAAGCGTGCTCGCAGAATAGAGAATAACTTGAAATGCAGAAATAGATACTGGGTTTAGAAGATGAGAGCTAAAGACGAGTAGGCAAGCTCTATTTTCCTTAACACATCATGTGTCAAGCACGTTCCCAGAATGGGAAAATGGTGAAAGAGTGGTAACTTTTGCTCTCAGCACAAGAACTAACATGTAAATGGACGGGCAGATATGACAGCTGCTGTTGAGCTAAAAATCTTAACGGAGAAGAAAATTATAAGGTACGCGTGACATTTCGCGTATCTCGATATTATCCAGGCCGCCTCGTGTTCGAATTTAATAGCTCCAAGCAATTTTGTGGCCGTCCATTGTTGCTCGTCAATTTCATTGCCTGTTTACGGAGAATGTGATGGATGTGAAAGCACCTTATCAACGACACTAGTATCAAACCAAAGCCGACCTCTATAAGTTTCGAGGGGTGGACATACCTTTCTACTTGGACTCGTCTACATTCTCTTCAAGTTTTGATCAACATATTTGCAGATATGGAGTAGATACGTGCTAAATATGTAAGTGACGGAGATGTGCTGGAGCAAAAGGCTTGATTTTGGTTCTTAGCTTTGAGGGTGTATCAGGCGGGGTTGGATGTTACTGTGAATATGGAAGCTTTGATTTCAGAACTTCTAGTTAAGCGAGTGCTTTAAATATTGGTCACTTCTAGCCGTATTTTCAGTAGATATCAACCGGTGTCTTCTCCCGACTTAGCTTATACCTTTTCATCAACTCCCGGATAATCATGCTCTCAATGTTCACTGCGTTGGCTACTGCTGGATTATTGAGCATCGTCGCTGCTTTACCGACTGATACGTGTGTCCCTACCACCGAAACGTGCCGACCATTTGGATTATTGCAGGGTAACTCTTCATCGTACTTTATCCAGTTGACGGGATCTTGTAAGTCCACATTTTGTCCTCTTGCTATGCAATTGTTATTGTAAGAGTTCACTATTACACTTCAATGGAAATTTGAAAACGAAATTGAAATTGAATTCCAATTTATCAATCAAAATAGTAAATATATTAACATGCGTAGGCTTCGAAATACTACTTCATTCTGACTGCTCTGAATTCCCCTTTACTCAGAGGCTAAGGTTGACAGGAGTACATCCAAGAGCCACAACTCCTTTCTGAAAGTTACAAATCATTGTTAAGTGCCGAGATTCACGACAGGAAAATAAATAGCTTACGAATGAGTTATTTGAGCAGCAGACAGCCTGTGAGCTGCAGGAAGTTCCTCCGACGCCGATAGCGGTGATGGGAGAGCAGGTGACTTTAAACAGACAATCATAAGTTTTTTATTCCTCTTGGTTGAAGCTAGTAGTATCTCACCTCCAACAAGAGCAGTGAGATCGCCGACGACAACGCCTAGTAGGCCGAGAAGACTATCGAGGCTGGTGGAGAGATTCTGCGAGTCCTGGGCTGCAATCGGAGAAGATGGTGAGTGATTTTCAAGTGATACTCAGAATGATTAAGCTTACTAGAATCGCAGCACTGGACATCTCCTGTAGTACTGTTCGGAATGATGATTAGTCAAAGAAATATATCTCTTGGTGAGCAAAGTATACCATTGGGAAGCCGGAGTGGGTGCAGGGGTCTCCCATCGAGGGACAGCGGTGGCGGTAGCAAGGATTGGGAGAGCCAATGCGGCAAAGGCAATCATGGAGGAAGTACGAGCGAACATTGTAGATTGGTTAATGTACTGGAGAATGGTAGTTAAACTGTGCTGGGTGCGTTGTTTGACTGAGGAATATACATTCTGTGGTAGCTCTTTTATACATTTTTCGTTGCTGCTTGTATATGACAATGTTCCTTTGAATTCTATTATATTGAGCTATGACAACCTTTCATTACCATTTTCTATTCCACTCCACAGATTATAGCGTCAAACCTGCATTACATGATGGAGACGCATGTTTTTAGGACTCATGACATGAATATACGGCATCTACGTCGATTTACCCTTATGGCGTTTTAACCGCGCTTCAACCGCTTCATCACGGCGTCACTTCGTCATCGGTTAATTCGGTGCACGATGTCAGAAATCTTCATTTTAGAAGGACATCTCAGAGGGTGAGCCGCTTGTAAAATATCCAGGTGTTGAAAAGAAGTGTCTCATGACAAGGTATTGCCTAATGGATGTGATTTTATGCCGTATTTCATTCAATAGATTCGAATTTGAATTCACACCATCTCATGTTTTTCATAGATGATATGATCTACCCTCGGCTCCGTAATATTTGACCGAGTATGAATAAACCTCTCTATATAATTTGTGCTAGAGTGCGTAATATCTCTTTTACACCTACTACAGTGTAGTGACGGTCCTTCAGACACAAAAGCGTGCATGCAAATCTATAACCGCACACATTGCTACTACGTCATAAAAAGTGAATAATATGAATGACTAGGGTCTATTCTACCTACTTCTATAAAATATAAAAAATTTTATAATGAATTAAGTCTATGAGGGCAAATTTCACATTCCTCACTCCTTGAGACATGTGTGACACAGGTATCAAAAGGTGCAGAATTACCGGGCCTGAGCATCCGGTTCTGGAACACAGTTAGTATGGTCATAGCACTATCCATGATTCAATTCTACAGAACA